ATGCTCCTCTTACTTCTTCTGATTTGAGGTGCTACAAAGCACACATGCCATCTTTGCAATCAGATCCTATAGCCTTGTCTGAGTCTTTGGAGCTGTTTTTGGGACCAAACATTTACATGTTCTCTAAGATGCTACACATTCTGAGGTATTTGTTTACTCCTGAGGAAAGGGCTCAGATTAGAATAGCAGCAATGGCCTACTGGGACTGCACACAAGCAGGGGTAAACAATCCAGTGGCTGGTGATGTGACGTTTCCTTTGGTTGATCCCAGCTGGAATAATAACGATATGGCAGAAAGGGAACAGATGGCAGATTTCAAGAAAATCATTCTTCATGGTGTGAGGACAGCTGTCCAACAGGGGAAGAATTTGGCTAAGGCTTTTGAAGTAGGACAGTTGAGGGACAAAACTCCTTCAGCGTTTCTGGAGAGGATTAAGGATAGTATGAATAAGTATTTTGGTCTTCCTCCTGAAACACTAGCATATGATGCCTTTTGGAAGATGCAATTTGTCACAAAAGCATGGCCTGACATCCAGAAGAAAATACAGAAGCTGGAGGGATGGGCAGACATTGATGTTGGTACCTTGTTGAAAACAGCTCAAAAGGTCTATGTGAATAGAGATGAGGCCAAGGCTGGGAACAAAAGCCAGATGATGGTCTCGGTGATGAAAGCTGCGAATAAACCACCTGAAAAGCAGGTAGGTTTTGGCAAGGGAAAAAGCCTTTTGGTCAGACCTCAGAGACAGGCAGGACAGAGGGGATTTCCTCAGTGGAAAAAACCCAATACAACTTCAACCAGGAATGGGTTAAACAGGAACGGAAATAAAACAAAGGCCTGTTTTTCCTGCAGGAAGTTGGGGCATTTCGCGAGGGAGTGTCCAGAGAAAAGGAGAACTCAGCATAGAGACTAGGGTCTTTATACATTGATGGGAGAAGAAGATGACTAGAGGGGTCAGGGGTTGTTGATTTTCTATTTCAAATCCAGATTTAGAGTTTGTATTTGAGTGGGTTTGTCACTTCTCTGCTTTCTCCCTTTCTGTCTGAATTTGTTTCAAACAAATAACTTCTTTGGTGGGATTCAACCAGTTCTCACCAATTCACTATAACTGATAGTTAACTTTTTAAGCAATCCTGAGAACCGGTACTTTACTGGAGCTTGACTTTCTTAAAGGGGAAGGGTTGTTATAAGCTTGTCAATCAGAAAGGTTGGCAGTTTTGGCAGTTCGAATCCCTAGTGCCATGTAACGGAGTGAGCTCCCGTTACTTGTCCCAGCTTCTGCTAACCTAGCAGTTCGAAAGCATATAAAAATGCAAGTAGAAAAATAGGAACCACCTTTGGTGGGAAGGTAAACAGCATTACGTGTGCCTTTGGTGTTTAGTCATGCTGGCCACATGACCACAGAGACGTCTTCAGACAGCGCTGGCTCTTCGGCTTTGAAACGGAGATGAGCACCTGCCTCCTAGAATGGGAAATGACTAGCACATATGTGCGAGGGGAACCTTTACCTTTTTAGAAGGCTAATAGACTTGGTGCCACAGAAAATAAAATAGGTTACAAGTTTCTGTTGTCTTCTACTTCTTTCTGTGTGCACACTTTGCTTCAATAATGTGGCATCACTATCAGCTACAAAAAGGGATAAGATAAACAATCTTTTATAATGGCGGTTTGTGCAAATAATCCAAAAGTACTTTCTCCTATTTTAATGAAAACTCCTGCTAGCTAATTATGAAGTCTTCATTTGTTTATCACAGAGCTTGTCATGTTAGCAGCATTTGCACAGTACAAGGAAGTAAGTTGAAGAAGAAAAATCTGATGTGAACATCAGGTTCTATGTTGGCAGAGAATAAGTGTTAAGACGATTGTTAGCAATGTTAGGTTTTATTCTTAAAGACACTCTTCACCCTGCGAGTAGTCCTGGATAAGCTAAATGTAAGTAGGTAGCATATTATTATGCAAGTTAAATGATAAAACCAGTGTATTGATTGACAGCTCTGACCTTGAAAAACAGTTGTAGAATATGTTAAGCTGATTCCTGAGATTGGTGTCCCAATTCTCAGTGTATCTCAATTAGAGATGGAAACAGCTTAATGGTACTGGGGGAGGGATTGGTTATAGTTGTCATTAGAAGAATTGTGGGAACTGATGCCCTCCAGATAATGCTGAACTTGAAAATTTGGTGCATGTTATTATTGGCAGCTTGCTTGGGAACTAGTTCAGCACTATCTAAAAAGCTTCATGTTCCTCATACTTCATATAAATGAGGAGCTACCAAGAAGGGTATCTAGTTCGCAAGAAGAAACCCTAATCTTTCAGAAAGATCCCCAGGGTGGAGCCGTTGAAGGGTTCAGAGTTTTGGCATTGATTACACTAAATATCTGAGAGATGAAATAATATTTAATCTCAAATGACCCTTCTTGATCTACGTTATCTCCTACAGGTGGTGTATGTTGCCTGTTCCTATGCTACCGTATGGATGATTTATAGCAAATTCAAAGCCACCTATGATGGCAACCATGATACCTTCAGAGTGGAATTCCTGGTTATTCCAACAGCAGTGTTAGCTTTCCTAGTAAATCATGATTTCACACCCCTAGAGGTAATTAAATGTATGCTAGTGAAAACAAGCCCCAGATACTCAACCTGCAGCTATATGATGTGTTCGAGTCCTATGGCTAAAATTATTCATTTAATTGGCAAATGGCCATCTTTAATATTCTTGTCTCTGCTTGTTCTGCTACATTATAGCTAGTTCCTTTTAGGATTACAAGCTTGAACTAATTTTGCTTTCCAAACCAGCACTACATTTATTCAGCTATCGCTATCTGCTCATGTGTTGACTAAATGATACTGAAATACAATTGTGATATACCTGCAGTCTTTTTAACTGGAAACCAGCCGAAGACATTATTAAGCTTTATGTGATCTATGGGTTTACAGCCTCCATTTTTATTTTAAAAGGAAAACTATTCAACAATCGATTGGAGCAACAGACGTGTCAAGAGAGTACTTGAATCTAGACTTAATTTAATTGTAACTTGCCAAATCTTGACCAACTTGACTCATTTAATTCTGTGCAGCTCAAGCATGAACTGATTCAGCCTGGGTTCGGCCTTATATTGTAGACGGATAAGTCAAAGGTTCAAACTTCAAAAACAAGGTTGATTTCTGGCAATCTTCTTCCTGTAGTTTTCTGATTGGCTCACTGCCTTAGTCCAGGGTGATAGTGATGATGTTGATTTTAACTTCTTGATCTGGCCCATAGTAATTTTCAAGTGTTCCCTCTCTAATTATCATCATTATTATTATTACTATTATTATTGATTAGACAATATTTGACTCAGTATTGTCATCTATGTAGACAGTTCTCTCAAGACAATTCAGCCCTTGACTTACAACTTAATGAAATTGTAACAGACCTCCACAAAAGTATTTACTACCAGTTCTGACAGACAGCCTACATACACCCTCACAGTCATGTGACTGCATTTTGGGTACTCAGCAACTGGCCCACATTTATAGCCATTTGCAGTGTCCCATGGTCATGTGACCATATAAAACTGTGACCATATAAACCATGTTTACTTCTAATTTTGGGGGAAAACGCCCAATAGCAAACAGTTGATTCACTTACAATCAAAGATTCATTTAACCAGAGTGATTCGCGTAATAATCCCCACAAAAAAATAGTAAAATTGAATCAGTCATGTAATGATTTGCTGTATGACCAATCATGACTGTAATGAGCAAGCTCCATTATGGTTGAAAGTTGAGGAATACCTGTAACCTATTAAAGGATGAGGCACTTGGAATTCACAAAACACCCAGTAGAAGGGTTTTTTGGGGGGACATTTTACAAAGAGATACATGTTGCACTAAGATATGCAGTCTTTCACAGACAAAAGTATCAAAAAGTGAGCTGGAGCAGACATGCCCTAAGTCTATGGCACAAATCCGTCCTAAATCTTGCAGTGCAATGGTGGACAACACAAATGTTCAGTTCTGACACTGTTGTGACATCAACACAAATTTGGGGATATAATGAGCTGTAATCAGAAAATATAAAGCTATTTTTCTCCTGGATTCCTCCAGATTCTCTGGACCTTCTCCATCTACCTGGAGTCGGTGGCTATTTTGCCGCAACTCTTCATGGTCAGTAAAACAGGTGAGGCAGAGACCATCACAAGTCATTATCTCTTCGCTTTGGGAGTCTACCGTGCCCTCTACCTGTTCAACTGGATTTGGCGCTATCAGTTTGAGGGGTTCTTCGACCTCATTGCCATTGTGGCTGGCTTGGTGCAAACGATACTGTACTGCGATTTCTTCTACCTCTACATTACAAAAGGTATTTTGCAACAAGAACAAATGGAAACTAGATCTGACTGAAATCTCATTGGTATGAGCTAGAGAAGTAGCGCTCTTCCACCTGGAGTCACCATGTTTGAGTTGGACAGCCATATAGATGCATTTAATAAATTAATAAAACTGGCATCTTTAGCAAGGTGCTTGGGATTTTAACATTATTTGGGAATTAGTACATCTCAACCACATGTCTCCAATGTGTGTTAACTAAATGTTACTGCTAAACTGGAAGTTCACTAGAGGGCACTCTTCATCTAAACTCAATCCTTTTTGATGCTGGGAAGCATATTAACCAATAGCTCTTTACTAATTGTAAGTTGACAAATTAATTAGCTGTTTCATCACCTTTTTTCCTAGGATCAAAAAGAAGTTGCAGAAAAATAGTACTCAGATATTCAAAACAGCACTAAAAAGCTATTTCTGTAGGATTGAATAAAATAAAATCTGTTGGGCTAGCCTAACAGAGATTGAATTATTCTATTAGTTATTCTATTAAAGGGCAATTGCTTGATAAATATGTATTGTTTTTTTACTGTTTTTACTTATAGCATCAAAATTATTTGTGTCTTGAATACGGAGAACCTTAACGAAATGTGTGTGTTGTTTTTAAGTCAAAGATTTTAAATTGCCAAGTTTGGAGATATCTGTGCATGCACATAGGCATACATGCACTACTAAAGTATAATTGTAAAGATATATATATAGTCTTAAAAGCAACTATAAGAAAACATTTTAGTTTGCGATAGAGCTAGAGGTGTCTTCTTTCAGAAATCCCCTTTCAGTCCAGCTCCCCATCCATTTTCAGTCCCTTTTCAACAAATATTGGCATTGTGTATTTGATGCATACTGTATACTCAGTTCTTGTTACTTGATTTAAAAAACTGTTTTGGGTTTCTGCAACTTGTATTTTCCACTTGTTAGTACAGGTACTCCTCATTTTATGATCATTTGTTCAGTGACTGTTCAAACTTACAATAATGCTGAATGAATGCTGAATGAAGGGATTTATAACAGGTCCTTAAAGTTATAGCTGTTCCAGTAACGCTATGGTCATGTGATTGTGATCTAGGCGCTTGGCATCCTGTTCACAATTATGAACAGCTGCCAAGTGTCCTACAAGCATCTGATCCTCATTTGCAATCTTCCCTGCTGACTTCCCCAAAATGTCAATAGAAAAGCCAGCAGGGAAGGTTGCAAGCCACCACTGCCTGCTAAGAGAATTCCCTGTTATCTCTAGGAGCTGCCTGAAAAAGCTCCATGCTGAAATCCAAGGATTTTTGCACAAGCTGTTTTCAAACCCACCCATCCAAAGGCCTCTCCTTTGACACAAAGTGTTTTCTGCAGAGTCCTGCTTGGGTTTTGGCACAGAACTTTTTCAGTCAGCTCCCAGAGACAAGAGTGAGTCCTTTCCACTCTGGAGGCTGAAAACTCTGTGCTGAAATCCAAGCAGAGTTTTCAACCAGAGAGGATTTTCAGGCCCAGAGTAGAGAGGCTTCAGAAGCCTTTGGAGCTGAAAATCCAGACACTTCACGCTTTGTCCCAGCCCTCCCTCACATCCCCTTATCCCCCCTTTCCATCCAATAACGCCTGGGGCTTTTAACTTCTTACCAGCTTCCCCATTGATTAGATTATAGGAAGCGACCAGGAAATTCATTTAATGACCAGGACATTCACTTAATAATAGCAACGGAACTACCTGGATTTCTGGCACTAAGCACAGTGGTTGTACTTTATGATATCATTGCTTCGTGACAATAATCCTGAGCCCAATCGCTGTTGTACGTTGAAGAGTACCAATATTGTTCTTGCTTCATACAGATAGGCAAACAATTGGGATTATTATTGAAATATATACAGTGGAAGTAATAGTATGTAATATTTCTATTCTGCCATAACTTCTTCCGCTACATCTTTTCATTTTTTGATTCCCGTAACAGTATGTTAGTATTCCATGCCCAATAAAATTGCTGTCCTTTAGAGGCAGTTTATGAACTGTGGTGGTGCAATGGTTAGAGTGCAGTACTTCATGCTAATTCTGCTGACTGCCGGCTGACTGCAATTTGGCAGTTCAAATCTCACCAGCTCAAGGTTGACTCAGCCTTTCATCCTTCCAAGTTGGGTAAAGTGAGGACCCAGATTGTTGGGGGCAATAGGCTGACTCTGTAAACTATTTAGAGACGGTTGTAAAGCACTGTGAAACAGTATATAAATCTCTGATTGCTATTGCTAATGCATAGTGCTATTTTGATAGGATGACTAGCATCCCAGCCCCCAAGCCCTCTGCATTTTTACTTACATCCTTGTTTTATCAGGCTCCCTTTTATTGATATATCTTTATATGCTTTTTGCTTTTATCTGTACACCGCCTAGTCACTCCAAGAGTGAGATGACCAATATTTAAACTTAATAACTGGATGTATAGATAAAAATGAAACATTGCTATCAATATATGAAATAAGAGAACAAATGTTATGGTGTCTTATGTATAATGACCATTCTTGGTTAATAGTTTCTTAATTAAAATATTATTAAAAATATTTTTTTTCTCTCTAGAAGCAATGGCACCATATTACTTGATATGTTGCCTAAAGTTTAATGAAATTCTTACCTCTTCTTATTTCTGTTTCCTTTTGCAGTTCTAAAAGGTAAGAAGTTAAGTTTGCCTGCATAAATTAAGATCAAGACTGCAACGAAATACTTTGGCCAAGGAGAATGAAGGGAATGCTTCACAGAAAATTGGATATGCAGATTGAGATTTCTTTTAAAATATTAGTGTCCTATTGATCTCAACTTCCACCCTGAACTTTGATCTAAGTGTGGTTTGAGACAAAACAACGGATGGTCTTTCTACAAAACAGACTTCTCTAATTGGGGGTGAAGTGAAGCACAGCTTGAATCCCAAGCTAACAATGACTACTCCTGGTTAATATGTAAATTGTAGATTTTGGGGTTTTTTAAACCCATTTTGATCATTCTCGGTGTCTATAATGCTTGAGTATTATTTTTTGATGAATCAGCACAAATAGGAAATACATTTTAAAAAAATCTGTTCTCTCTATCCTCTTAGTTTGCACTCATTATTTTGGGTGTTATGTTGATAAATGCAAGCTTTTCTGTTCATGAAGGCCTGGTGCTACAAAGCTATCCAGATAGACAGGAATGCTTGCAAATTGTTTCTTTTTATTAAGTATGGGTTTCCTTGGATCTATTTTTGAAACAGTGGCAAGAAAATATCTTTCTCCTTTAAATATTTGTCACTTACTCTTTCTTCATTTTTGTATTATTTGATGATTAAAACTTCATCCACTACAAATAAAATGGAAAAACTCTTCCCCTTATTAATTAGTGCCTTTGTGGGAAGGATGGGAATTTAAATAAAAATAAATTCTGCTTTTTGCCAGTTTGTACTCTTTGTGCTTCAGAGTATATTGTGCTATTCGTCTTCATTGTCCCATATTTTTTTATTGTGCTTTTTCTGATCTCTCTTAGTGACTTATTCTCCTAGGGCCTATACTATTAAATACTGTATTAAAACATTCTTTCTATAAATGCCCCGTCACTGCTGCTGCTTGATACTACATCATATCTGAATTGATAACAAATTTGTATGTTTTCATGAGAACATTTTAAATCTTATTATACTGCTGCTATGAACCTGAACAATCAGTGAAACTAAAATTCAAGCCATGTTTCAGCCAATCTAGACTTTCAATTTGTATTACACCTTGATTTAACCTGCATGTATGCTTAGTCAAAAGCAAAATCTTTAGAATACTTGCTTTGAAGACTATGAAGGCAAGATTGCACAGATCATCTGATTTGATACAATTACTTAGAAATAAGTTGCATTGAATTCAGTGTATATAAGAAGGAGCAATTTCTAAATAGCCATATTAAAATATTATCTATTGAATTAATTATCTGCTATGAGTCCATAGCTGGTTTTCTTAAATTTATAAAGCAAAATTTGCAGTTTGTTTTGAATTGTGATTAGTCATTGGAGAATGAATCTTCTGTGATCACATAAACTATAAAATTGACCTAATGGTTATGGCAGTTACATCCAACCATCTGGAATGAATCCACGTTGTTTATACTGATTTTTTTTCTACAATCTTATGCTGTAGCATCATATAACCCAAATAAACAGCATAGATTCCCCTTGCACATGCATGCTAGTCGTTCCCGACTCTAGGGGGCAGTGCTCATCTCTGTTTCAAAGCCGAAGAGCCAGTGCTGTCTGAAGATGTCTCCATGGTCATGTTGGCATGATTAAACACCGAAGGCGCACGGAACATTGTTACTTTCCCACAAAAGGTGGTCCCTATTTTTCTACTTGCGTTTTTACATGCTTTCAAACTGTTAGGTTGGCAGAAGCTGGGACAAATGGGAGCTCACTCTGTTAGGCAGTGCTAGGGATTCGAACTGCTGACCTTTCTTATTGACAAGCTCAGCGTCTTAGCCACTGAGCCACCATGTCCCTCATAATAAGCAGCATAGAGCATCTGAATCAGTTTGGTCTGACAAAGGCATAATATAAAGAATTCTTTATAGCAGCTTCACAATTTGCCTCTACTTGTTTACCAATTGCCAATAGAGAATAAAAAATAGTCTTCCCACATGCTTGCTTTTATATTTTAAAATAAGTTTTTATCTATAATACCTATATTCATTCCTGAAAATACTGTATAACAGTACCTTGGCAGCTCCATATGTATTTTTTTCCTCCTACATAATGGTTTTTAGTATTTTGATAGACAGGTCCCCAATATGTGAGCTTAATTTGGCTTTAAAGGATAAACAATCAGTATGTTTGTCGTCCAAAAAAGACAGAAGAATCTGGATGAACATTCAGGGTTTATGAAGTTTTTGTGTATTAATATTAAGCACAAGAACCACATGTTATATTGTGCTTACAAATTCCTTGTCCGTCCATCTTTATTTTTGCTTTGCTTCAGTAAAATCAACTTCAGACATTTTGGGTTGGACCTTTTTTTTTAGTAAAATTTATTTACTACAGGAACAAATAACTGCTTAGTCGTCAGTATTCATTAACGTTAGTCGATGAGGTACAGGAGTGGATGGGTAGGAAGCTGCACCCACATTTTCAGGGAACCCCATATTACTGGGAAGAGAGGAGGAGGTGGATGTAGAAAGAGTGGTCAGAGCAACAGATCCTTCATCCAGCGTCCGCTTATACGGCACAGGTGGCTCAGCCCACAGGTTTTTCACAGCCAGATAGGCTAGGTATCCCTATGGAGGAGAAGCGGTGGCAAGTCAGGTACCTGTAATCTTATGTTATATTATGGTAAGAAATTTGATCTTGTTCTGGGTGATTTAGAATGATATTACAAAATATGGTATAATAATCAATAAAATATTAGCCTTTCTGAAATAATTGTAAAGAAGATTTGGAATAATGAAGTATTTAGCTTGATAAGTAATATATTCTCTCAGCTATTTTACAAAAACCACTTTGTTTCCAACAGAAATAAGTGAAATATACTGAGTTTAATCATTTTCAAATGATGAATTGAAAAAGACAAAAGTTTTCCAGAATAGGATTTTTAGGAGCAAATTGAGAAAACAAGTATTAGGTCCTTAATGTGATATATGTTTTCTGCAGTGAACAGAATATCTATGAATTAACTATTCTTCCCACTTATTGCAATGCAGAACAATGTTTGAATAAAACTACAAATATAAACATCTAAAAGGTACAAATATCCAAATATGATTTTAAGATATCATAAATATCAAATACAGGCAATCATTTCCCCCTATTAAATATGTGTAATTCCTGAACTAAAATGTTCATTTCAGTATATATACAGAGAAAATGTGAGTAAAGTGAAGCCATAGAATTTAAAATAGTATCAAAATATTGACCAAACATACTGTGGTAAATCCAGGACATGTTCCAATCAACAATAGTGATTTTGTAGCAGGATACTATGTCTCAAAAAATATTAGCTTTAAGATTAGGCAGCTAGGCTAGTAGAGGATTAGAGGGGGGAACATGCAATAGCATCATTGGAGGCCCTGACTCTTTGAGAAATACAAGAACATTTTTTAGTCCAGATTGAACCCAAACTTCCCCTCCCCACATTATATTATAAAAGTCTCAAATTCATATACCATCTTTATGAAATCTCCTACATATCAAAATAGTATCAATGCTGATATTCTCAAGAGCCACGTATATGGTCATAGTCATGCTGGATTTGTGTGAAAAACTAAAGCCCAGAAGGTCCTTTGTAGTAGATAGGAAGCAGTCTTGTCATGGCTAGATCTAAGATCAAATTTTCCTTGGCCACTAATTATTTGGAACTACTAAAATTACAAGTACTCTTTATAACTATATCTTACAAAGCAGTAAAACTAATTGGATTCCTCAAGGGAAAATATGTATTCTTGAGGCCATTGATTGATAAAACATTTCATTTTCCTTGCTTTGGATACAGAGATAAGACCTGTTAGCCTTATTATTTGCTAGATAAACATTAAGATTAACAACTACTATGACAAATCACTGAATTCCCAAATGAACACTATTGGTGGATATTCTATTCCCTTTTATCTTATAAGTAGAACATACACCACTATGGACTGATTCTTAAATCTTACACATGTTCTGCTGATATTCAAAATAGGCCTTTCCTCAATCCAACCTGGGAATATGTTTCCTCTTACTATATAAGTGGACTTGATCAGACGTGTGTGTCAAGACAGGGTTTGCCCTGAACTAAATGTTGAAAAAGTGTGTATTAGTATACTACTTTCAGTTCCAACAAATTTATATCGAGATTCTTGTCCTGAAATTAGCAAACTTTGGAGAAAAGAATCTCAGTGACTCGGATCTAATGAAAAAGGCTCCTGAAAAGGTTTACTCTTTAAGGGAGTTATAGAAATGCACCAACTAACTTCCTTGGGCAATGATTCTGTTTCTGAGCTGTTATGATTCTCTGAAAAAGTAGAATAAACCACTGAAGTGATCTGAATACTTTCTGGCTAATGGCACACAATCTAAACAACTTGACATTCAGGGTATATGTACAAAAGATAAGCAACACCCAAATATGGACCTACAAATGCTTGATTTCCCATAGGTTAAATCATGCTTGAAGTTGCAGTCACTGTATGTTTAGTGTTATCCCAAGAACTGCATCTTGAAAAAATTAATTTTCCTCCCGTATCTTGTCAGAAATCCATATATTCTGTAGGCAGTGCAATATTTTAAAAATAATACTACATTGTGCTGAATGGTAGACCTGTCAGTACATTATCAAGGAAAGAGGCTTTTAATAATCCTTGTGTAGGATATATAGTAGAGTGGAGACTACGTCATTCTTGAAAGGCTGGAAGATAATGCTTAAGAGTCCAGGAGAAGGTGGGAGAATGTAATTTTAAAGTCTTGGAAGAAAATTTAGATTACCAAGAAAAATGCAAAACTCTAGGGACTCCCACTTGGTTTGTAAGAAAAGTGATCTTATTCTTGCATAAATTCAATTAAACAGGTTTAAGGGATTTTTAGTTGAGGCCGGGGTATTGGGAAAAGTAATTAATTATATTTATCCAATAAAACTACCAGTATACTTTCCTCCAAATAATTATTGGTAAATTGGAAAGGAAGAGGTTTTCCATATTGCTATTAAACAAATGAACAGGAGCTGCAACTCATACCTTAGCTATCAAAAGCATAGGAGACTGATTCTTTGGAATATTCCTAATTAATATTCCTTAAAATTATTAGGGGAGATTATTTGCCTGCTTTTAGTAATGCCTAAATCTTGAACTTTTTCTTCTCTTTCTTCTCCAGTTATCTGTTTCCCTCATTTTATCTCCAGCTTTATTTCCCTCTTTTTCTTTCCTTGCACTCGCCATACATTTATTCAGTAGCCTTTTCTCACCTTCATTCTAGGATGAGGTGGGTTGGGGGTTGTTATTGCTGTTTTGCTTCCTTTTTACCACTTCTCCTAAGATGGAGTAGAATGTGAACAGCATGTTTGATAGATTGCAAATGATGTATTTTTAAAAAAATAAATTGGGCATCTTATTTTACAGATAATTAATGTTAAGAGCCAGTTGGTGTAGTGGTTAAAGCATTAGGCTAGAAACTGAAATACTTTCTAATCTGCCTTAGGCACAAAACCAACTGTGTGACTTTGGGCCAGTCACTTTCTCTCAGCCCTAGGAAGGGAGCGGTGGCCACTTTTGAAAAAGGAAATGCAACAACAAAACTCCAAGCACATACCCTGTTTCCCAAAAAATAATCCCTCCCCGAATAATAAGACCAATTGGGCTTTTGAGCATATGTGCTAAAATAAGCCCTCCCCTGAAAATAAGCCCTCCCTGAAAATATGACTCCCCACCTCCTGTACCTCAAAAATAAAACTTCCCCGAAAATAAGGACAAGTGCTTATTTTGTGGGTCAAAAGAAAATAAGACCCTGGAAACACGGTATCCAGGTAGTCTCTCAAAATCAGACACAATTGAACAGAAGAAGAAAAACTCAGTAGCCATTAATTAAATTGGTATTAATTCTGTTTTGTATTGATTCTTCCCCTTTTTTGAGTGTGATACATGGTAAGATTTTTCCTTTACTTATTTATTTCTGTGTATTCTTCTTTGGAGTACCTTGCAATTCAGGGTTATTTTGGGGTATTTTTTTTTTAGACAGGAGTATATTTTTTACAATTTTGACCCTGTTAATTACCCCTATACTCAACTCTTGGAAAGCAGTTTATTGCCACCAAGCTTTTAAAAGGGCTTTAAAGAATCCAAGAAACTATGAAAGCGTAACACTCCATCTAGTTAAATTGGCGATAAAATTATAAAGCACTCAGAAAAATACAACTTGCAGAAGAAAGATCTATACTCCTTCTACAAAGTTTAGTCTCAATTCATTAATTTTCTGTTAATTGTGATCATTTCTCTTCATAAATGAGGGAAACTAACAAGAAATCTGCAATTTTTCTGCAATCTTTAAATTAAGACTTTGGTCAAAGGTGTACTTTCTGCAAAATGTACTTAGTAAATTGGCAGAGTAAGCAGTGGGAATTAAAACGCTCTGAGCTTGGCAGGAGGTCAAGTAAGTTGTTACCAATATGTTCTCTGCTGGATATAAAATGTATGTTAACTGTTCGGTCTTCCTGAGTTAAAGAACATCATTCATGGACTAGCCCGAGTTCTGAAGTGCTTGACTTTTTTCTGTGCCAAGTTTGTAAATAAATGAGTACTGCTATCGCCTGTACATGAAGGCTCCTCCTGATTTATTCTATATTTTTGATGGGAAATGTGAGTCACCCAGTTCCATAACAAATGAAGGAATAAACCTGCTTCAGAACTCATTTCTGAACTAGTTTTTTCATTCCCAGAAATTAAACTAGATTTTAACTTTAAACTTTTGAAACAGAGTAAGCATATTTTCCTTGTTGTATTTCTATACTTAAATACTAACATTCCAGAAAATTAGCTTTTAATGTAGGTTGGTTTGATGTTTTCAATAGGAACCATCAACTTTAATTACCAATCTAAAGGAATCAAGGGTCCATTTCAAAATTATTTATGCCTGGAAGCAATCTTTGCAGGAAATGGGCGAACTGGGTATGATTCCAATAAAAGATAATATTGTAGCTCAGGGTTGAATTGTGGGGTCCTTGGTGCTCCCTGAGCTTGGTTTTTTTCATTATCAGAATTGACAATGTTCCCTAGTTTGGTAATGAAACATCTGCAAGAAAACAACCAAGCTCAGAGAGCACCAAGGACCCCTGAGTACGATAGCACAGAAAATTACAAAGAAATTCAACAAACAATGGAAGACACAGAAACAGCAGAAAGCTAACAGAAAATGATATATTTTTTTTCAATACACAAACATGAGTTATCTTGTGTAAGCTTCTGACAAAATCTGAGAATAGTACGGGGATACAGAACTTGCAGTGTTCTAAATGTCACTTAACTACAACTCCCATCTCCCTTCTCTATTAGTAAGCAGCCATTCTAGTAAAGGCTGCTAGAAAATTGGTAGTTCAGTGGCATCTGAGGAATTGTAAGATCATTAGGTTTATAATATGATTGTCTATTTAGCAACCACTCTAAATCTAAGTGTTACATAACAGTGCTAGTTTGATTTAACTCAGTCTGATACATTCTTTTGAAATACCTACATTGTAGCAGTGGTACATTTAAGAATGATCAAATACAAATGTTATTCACGCTGCACCAAACTGTTTTTACAATTAAAAAATTAATTTCATTGAAAAGTAAACATCACCCATTATGGAATTATCCTCATCTGATTTAATAAGTAAAGTAAATGATATATGCTTCCTTAAGGCAGTTCATTTGGCCTTAATAAGATGAAATTGCCTTTGTGGCTAATGATACTCTGCAGGGATATACTTTGCTTCCATGGCAGACTCATTCTGAAATAATAATGGATGTACTTGACTGACTCACCCAGCATGGAACAGAAAGGAAGGCAAAGGCAATGCTAGCCCGTGCAGCACTAGTTCCCAGCAGGTAGGAGTGAGTTGACCGGTTCCACTGATTGGTTAGGATACAGAATCCAATAAACCACAGGCATGTCCATGTCACTGAGGAAAGAAGATGACTAAGAATGTGACACAAACAAGTAAGTTGTGTGTTAGCATAAAGTCCTGTGAGACCCACTGCTGTATCTTGGGAAAAATAGTATTTTTATTATTTTATTCTTTTGCCATACGCTATGACACTTCTAGACCACCAGTGCTTAAAAATGATTGGATATTATGTTTTTTTAATGTTGGCATTGTAAGAAAATTTGAGGGTTCTTTAATTCTGTTTTTGACTTGACCAATGATAGTTTTACTTGAGTTTCATGCCGGACCATATTAAAATAATTATGGAATAAATTATTTCAAGATTATTTAAATAATATTTAAATATGATTTGATTGATAGAAGTGGAACTATATTCTTAAAATATGAAATTATTTCACGAAAAGTTTGGCTCTACTGATAAAGATATTATATAAACTCTTCCTTCTAAACTCATCCTTCTATTGAAGAATTGAATCAGAATCTGAAATCTATTTTTGAAATTTTTCTGTATTAAAAATGAAGATAAAATATGTCACTACATGGTATAGATTTAATAAGTGTACTGCTCTTCACTGTCCAGCCCCAGTACAACTCCTTAATGTAGAGAAAGATAAATTGTATATTTAAAAAGTGATTACAGACAGTCGTCAACTTATGACCACAATTGAGAAGTCATAAGTTGTTGCAGTTGTTGATTACCATGTGACCTGACTCAATTTTACAACTGGTTTTATAATGGTTGTTAAGCAAGTCACTGTGACTGTTAATCAAGGGATAGTTAGAAAAACCCCACATAATCATTAAGTGAATCAAGCATATCTAATATCTGCTAGAAAACAGAAAAAAAACATTGCAGATTGCACTAATGTGACTGTGGAATGCTGCAACTAGTCATAAATTTGAGCTGGCTGCCAAGCACCTGAAATGTAATTGTGTAACACAAGGAGGGGGGTTGGCAGTCAAGGATGAATCAAAGGAGAGGAGCTGACGTCGCAACGACACAACGTACAATCTTGGAGCGCCAAGATCACAGTCAATATTTTTGCCGCTGGACGGTCCTTTTGGACCTAAACCGTTCCGAAGAAACAGTGACAGGGAAGAGTATGCCCTGCTGATCTCAGGGACACCGCAAAATCTCTGATTGGTCCAGGATAATCTCTTTTTGCCGGTGACAGAAGAAGATCTATTGAAGCTGCTGAAGTTGGGACAGCTCCGGAACAGATAGAAAACTGAAAAAGAAAGTGTGTCCATCTGGTGAGGAAATCTTATTATTATAAGAGACTATCCTCAAAAAAATTAAAGCTAAATTAAATTTGAAAACAGAAGGGAACAAGTGGCAAAATTAAGCTACACTAGACAGTGTGTTATCTTTTTTAAAAAAAATCTTTTACAGATGGAACTTTTGCAAATGTTTCCTATTCTTTAAATTGAATGGATTTTTTCTTCTACTTTTTATATTCTTTTTTTATATCTATGGATTAAAATCCTTTTCCTTATTTTTATAATGCTGGATTGGATGGTGGTGTTTTTTTTGCTCCATTTAAGAATTTTATTTTCTTTAAGCCTGGAATATAAAGAAGATATAAAAGGAATACAAAGAAGGTTGTAATAACAGAGAGAAAGGAAGTAACACTGCCACTTGGAGGCTGGAGGCTTGGAAATATTGCCTTTTTTCTCTTTGATCATTTGACTTTGCATTTCAAGTTTCCTCAGCTTGTTTACAGAGAGTGTTAGTGAGAAGAGCATGGTTTGTTTATACAGGTGCTCTTCGTGAGCTTTATTGGCAGCTGGAGTGGAGTGAAAACAAAGCCTTGTCTTGAAAAATAATAAATGAACTTGCTTTAAATTTAAAAGCTTTGAATGCCAGAGCAGCAGTGTTTACAAGTTGGAAGAATGGCGCAACATGAAAAAGAAACCTTAACATTGCAAAAGATTATGTTTGAAATTGAAAAATTATTAGAAGTAACAAGGAAAATTGAGAAGAGACTGGAGAACATAGATCGTAAACAGTAAAATTTGATGGAAAAATTGAGGATGTTCATCAAATGAAAGTGGAGATCAGAGAGAACTGAAGGAAAAAATAAACAAAGAGACAAGAAAATTGTTGATACTCTGACAGTGAACTGAGCATGGTTGGAAATGGAAAGAGTGGAATATGGAAAGGGGAGATAGATGGACTGGAGCTCTACCCCAGATCTCAAAGTATAGAAGAAGAAAAAAGAGAAGAATTGATGGAACGAAGGAGAGAAATTTTGTCAGAAGCACTAGTAATAACCAAAGATAAGCTGATCGAAGAAGCAGATGGAGGGTTTCAAGAAGTCCATACAAAATTTACTAAGGAAATAGCCAGAATTCTAATGCCACAAATGGCAAGAGTGCACTATTACTGGAAAGACACAGATTGATGTAATGAAAACTTATAATAAAAAATTAAGTCAAATTTAGTTAAATTTAGAGCATTATGTATAAAATGAAATGATAATGGATAGTTAAATAATTGATTGATAATGATAATAATACATATATATGTATTGGTTTGATAAGAGGAAATTTGATATAAATTGCAAATCGTGACTAAAGGAAGTTTAGAAACTGTTATTAAATATAACCAATTTTTATTTATTAATTTTATAAAGATGTAATGTTACTGGATGATATTGGGAAGAGCTAATGGAATGCCATTATGTGATTTTGCTTTAAATCTGGAATATTTTATATAAAAGGACATAAAAACAATTATAGTCAAATGAAGATTGAGGTGTGATGATAGTAATATATATAAATATATTTGAGTTAAAATATACGATTTGATATGAATTGTAGGTGATGAATGTGGAAGGGATGCATAAAGGTTTTTGTAACCAATCAACACAATTTGATGTACAATTTTCTACAATTTGTAATGGAAGATAGTTTTGTGTTTGTGTGTGTGTGTGTTTGCCTGTTTGTGTTTATTCAAAAATAAAAAAAATCTTTAAAAAGGATGAATCAAAGGTAGTTTTGAAGTCCTTCATAACTTCAAATGTTAAGCAACTGGTCATTAAGCAATGAGTAACTATATGGTGATTAAGTTGTTGACTCTTAGCAACCCTATTAAAAAAAATATTCATAGTGATCAGTCCCTACATGGTCTATCAAATCTTTTATCAGTGCACCCGCTAATGATTGTTTCCATTCAGCATGCTGCTGGTCATCCTCTTCTCTTTCCTTCCACCTTTCCTGGCATTAGAGCCTTCTATAGAGAACTAGATCTTATTATCTAAATAATGTAGTTAATCCTTTGTAAATATTAATAAGAAAGTAGTTAGATCAATACATAAACTATCTTAGTCATACATTTTGAGGGGGAGGAAAGAAAGAAGTTTGAAATAGCTAAAAGACCAGAAAACAAGCTAAAAAAATAAAGTGACCTAAAACTGCAAAGTGAGCAGAACAGAACGTTTTTATCTATTCCTTCCATAATTGTTGAATTTGTATTTTTTCATTAAGAAAACAGAATCTGCCTTTAGCTTCTCAAAGAAACTTACAGGAAGTTATCAGACATATTAAAAACAATAAATAAAGGCAACAAACAGCAACAAAATAACTACAGAGGGCCCCAAATTATCTGAAGTAAAATTTTTAATTGAAGATCCCCATTGAAGAGAACTTATTTTCCCTGGAAACAAGGTATAAAACCTAGAAATGTGCCCATTTTCATCACTACTTATTGTCAATACAAGTAATAAAGGAACCCAAGGAAGATCCTCTGAAACAATTTTTAATAACTGGATAGGTCTAATCTAACAGCAATTGGATTGTAAAATAAAGTTGACATTTTCATTTTGATAGAACTTGTGATTTCAATGGGGAGAGGTGGTTGGAAGACACAATTGTAACGGCTTGCTATCTGGGGGGGACAGTATAGAAGTGAGAAAATATGAGCACAATTTTGATAGATCTATAAAGTAAAATATTTTGAATATTGGGGTTCTCAGGCACCAGCTATCTCCTAATTATTGTTAAATATTGAAATTTAAGCCCATGATTATTTTCAAAATAATGAAAAAATTACTCACTAGAGAAAGTAACATCCAATATAAGGATAGCATACTTGAACTTGTGATTAGTAATGCAAGTATCATAGACATCACAGCCCAAAAAGAGGAGACACTGGAGAAAAGAAAGTACACCAACTGTGATGCCATAGCAGCAGACTGCCCCATTATCATTAAAAATACAATGTAGCTGGGAAGAAGTTGTCAAATTTTGATATCCTTCAGTCACCAAGGAGGCAAATATAACCAGTGAAAACACCTGAGGCAAGAGAAAAAAATGGGCATGTTAAATACAAATGTTTGAATACTATGTGTATTCCATGAAATACAATTTTGCAATCAAGTTTAATGGATCCAAGCATCATTCTTTTGAATCTGCATTGAGGCAAAGAGAATAACTAACCTGATCATTCACCTCTTCTATAGCCAACATAAGGAGCAGGGAAATTGTTTTTATCTCTGAGGGTTAGAACTTTACCTGCGCTCCAAAGGACATACATACTGTCTATAGCACAGCTGAAATAAGGAAGAAAAACAATGATGGAAAATAATTTTCCAAGTAGTCTATCAAGGTGCTATTCACCTGAATTTTCTATGGAAAGGGGGGCACATAATTATTTCATCTCCTCCTCAGGACAAGCAGCTCAATAAAAAGCTGTGTGGATAACTCAGGAAATTTAGGGACTTGAGCCAGTGCTGAATCATACTCATGTCTGAGAATAAACTGCATGCAGCATGCCTTTGGCATACATGCCAAGGCTTAGTCTTGAAGATCTCCATAGATTTGATAGGAATTTTGTTGGCATCTTGCGCTCTTAATGTTCCCTATATCTAAGTGATTTCATGAGACATTAATCTTATTCAAATTGTTCGTGGCTTTGAACTTAATAGCTGGATGCTAGTTAAAAAACCAAAATAACAAGCCTTATTTTACAAGTACTGCAGTATGGAAGTGAAATAGTCACATTTGTATACAAAATGATGACACTAAATTAATATAGTATAGTCAGAAATGCATAATTATTATTCAGATAGTAGAATTTGGTCTATTAGGAAAGAGGGGTGTGAATCCAAACTAGAAGGCAGGCAAGTCAGCTTCCTACAAGGAAAGTCAATGAAGAAGCTGGTAGGAAATCAGAAGTTGCACCTACTCTCACTGCTTTTTTGCCCAACTATGGCAATTCTTTTGTTTTAGTCAGAAAATATCTATGTAATGTCCCAATGGGTCACCGTTATCTACTTTTTTATAAAGCAAAGCACTGGATTGTATTTTAAAATAAAGATATTATGGCTATTGCTGATATAGTACAACCTATCCTAATAATGTATGTTGTCATAGCCTCTTTTTAATTCCCATTTAACATAATGTTGGAACACTATTGTGAAGTTAAAACTGCATCAGACTATATGTGAACCCAAATATAGAAGAAACCACCATTTAGTTAGTACCCTGTTTCCCTGAAAATAAGACCTCCCTAGATAATAAGCCTAATCAGGCTTTTGAGCACATAAGCTAAAATAAGCCCTCCCCACAAAATAGTGCAACACAGCAGCAGTAGCATAGCGTGAGGTGACCACTTACACCACCTCCTGCACCTCAAAAATAAGACCTCCCCGAAAATGAGGCCAAGTGCTTATTTTGGGGGTTAAAAGAAAATAATTATTATTTTCGGGAAAACACAGTAGTGTTATTTTGTCTCACCCCTGCTAGTGTTCTAGCAACAATCTGAGGTTGTATGATGAAGTGCACCATATTGTGGTCCGAAAGGTCCCGCAAGACTGAAGTCATTTTTCTCATCCTGTAGTTGTCTTTTTGTCATTAGAACAAAGCTGAATCTGGAAGGTTGCTGTAAATTGAAGCTGAGAAACATTATCTGGACTTTAAGAATATAATACAAATATTGCTAAGATCCTATCTACCAACTGAATGTTTAAAAAAATATAGTTATTTTTTCAGCGTTCTCTTCTTGCCTTAGCACAGCCCAACAAATCTTTAATCTACCTACCAGGCATATGGTAGATCAACTAAACTGTGATTATGAAATATTTAGAATCAATGTATAGAATTTTCCATTATCTTTTAAAGTAATAATTTTATTTAACAAATATTCCTTTAGTTGCACAAAAACTGAACTAGCAGCTTTTAGTGATAGCCATACTTCTGATATCAGTTTAACAATATAATATTATAGTTACACTGTTGTTACCATCACTCTAAGATATGCCTCAGTTATATGAGGAATTCATGTATTAATATCATTTTCCAGTTATTTAAATTTCTTAAAAGAGAGCTAATATCAGCTAGCACCTCAGTGACGGAGCACAATCAAATACTACACAATATGCCCTTTCATTTTGTTCATAATGAAATTAGATTCTAATTAGATTCTAATTTCATTAATCTGATTATTTTATCTGAAATTTTTTTGCAAAAGTTTTATTATTCAAAATCGTTGTTATTCCCTTGAAAGGAAAACACTTACCTATATGGCTATACAGATTTACTTCTCTATAGCAAATAAGAAATTGATCTATTATTTTAAATTCCATGCCAAATGGCGCTCCAAACACATTCCTTTGATTTCTACTCCTACCTGAGAAGTACTGGAAGATAATGGCTAGTTTTAGCAGAGAGGATCTGTACTGAAATCTCTGCTCAGCCAGATTGACTGGGCAATTTTAAACTAGGCACTGTTTCTCTCCTGTTAGAATGAGGGAAAAGGAAAGGTGTGTAGCCTCCAATTTCTTGAAAAAGATCCATTTAAGGTGCTTTTTGTGTTCCTCAATATTTCACTACAGCTACATTATATTCTGTGCCTTGGGGAAAATATTGTAACCAAGAACCCAACCTGTATCCCTTATTTTTAACCCAGTCTCCTTTCCTCAGGCAGGAGGAATTGGCTTCAATCCCTACTTTATTACCGTATCTACATATGAATATGGACGTCCAAAATACATCCTGAAAATGGCAGATGGGAGAAAGCGAAAAAGCTCAAGTGTAACATTGGAAGGGACTGCACGATAAAGCCTACTCAGAAATGAAGGACATAGCGCTTTACATTTTCCTGAGTATCCTGGAACATTTCAGAAGCGCCCTCTTTCCTCACTTACCCCTTGGGGAAAGTGAAGGAAATGAAGTTTTTCCCGCCTTTTCAATCTCGTCACGTGCCCAAGGAGGGGGGGGAAGCGCTTGGGAGAACTCGAAGCTTGAATGGTCAGGAGAGCTGCCAGTGTCCCTTTTCGAACGCTGGAGCGTTCAACAGGGCAGTTGGAAATGACTGTTGGGGTGTGGGGGTGGGGGTAGGAGTTAGAATGACGCCTGAGAGGATTCTAGAGAACTCCGCGCGCGCTGAGGGGGAAGCACTGTCTTATTTCGCTGGCCCGAACAATGTGTTGGGCGCATGCGCATCATATTAAAACCGAACGGATTGGAAAGAATTTCCGATACTGTGAAATTCTTTTGATTGTTGCAAACGCCCCGTGGTTTGGCCATAGAGACAGGAAAGGAAAATGGGATAGAGCAACCAAAACTCGGCTTCTCTGAAATCGAAACGTTTTCAGTAGTTCTCATTGAGTAAAAGATGAAGGATACAGAATGGCTCCATTGTGAGCCTTGGCGGTATTTTGCAGAGGCCGAATCAGAACAGGCTTGATAGGCAAGTTTTACGCGTTACGGGTAGCTGTTTTAAATTTTCTATCTAGTTTATGGGCTCAGCGTAACTCGCGGCAATCGACGTTAGCCATTGCGCAAGCGCACGACGCAATGTGAAGTTCGCCGGGAATAGCTAAAAGATTAGAATTGCGGGCGGAAGAGAGAAAGGAACATTGTGCGCATGTGCCGCCAAGATTCAATGTCAGGCTTCTTTTTAAAGGTCAGAGCTCGTTGCTCCAATAGTGGACTTTTTCTCTTTTTTTGGTCCGAATTGGATCTGTAGTTAAAACGGTTTTTGCGTGTGTGTCTGGGTCTGTGTGTGTGAAGGGGGAGAGAAAAAATAACCACCTTGGTTTGTAAATTGGGAGGGGGGGGGCTTAATTTCAACAGTTTGGATAGCCTGGTGGCTTTGATCAGTGGCTTTTAACCCCCGTTGTTCTGTCCTGGTTGTGAGCTTGCTTTCACACGCAATTGTGGGTGGTGGTGGTGGTGGGGAAAGTACCTGGCCTTTTGTGCATGGTACCTCCATGTTAACTGAGCATTCTTTGCCTGCAGTTTATCAAAAAGATAGATTTGCTCTACTTGGCTTCTCAAAGCTTTCTACATCTGCTGTTTTGAAAGGTGCCTGCCATAGCTCTTCAAGCAGTGTGTTTGCAAAATAAATGTCAGCTTGAGGAAACTTAGCCAAGGAATATGAATATGCCTGTGCTGCCATTTTGTTAACTGTTAAGCTTTGGACTCTCCCAGAATGCTGAGCATAACCCGGTTAGCCCTGGGGACCAAGATTATAGGGTTGTCTTTGCGTGGCAAGGCCTCCCTTGCTGCCACGATGATGAAATATCGGAAGATACGGAAGCCAACAGAACCACAGAACTGGGCACTGGATTATCAGGAGAAATACATCCCATTTTCCAAGAACCAACTGGTTGAAGCCCTGGTAAAGGTAAAAATAGGCTTCTGTATCAATTCCAAGATCCCTTGAATTAAGCAAAATTCACAATCCTCCCTCTCGGCTTTCGCAGTGTTTCAGTGCCTCAAAACAGCATAAACAATTTTTACAATGTGCTTATAGTGCTTGGTGAAATCATAGAAGCAAGCGAAATGTATCACCCCTTCTTATAGACAACACAAGCAGCAATAGTGTGAAGTGTTATACAGTAATATGTTGTATACTGTTTTATTTGATGTGCATGATCCATTTGGATAGCAGAATGTAGTTTCTCTTGACCCAGACAGTGCTTGCTTTAGTACATCAGGTGTTTTCTTTTAGCAAATTATCTGCAATCTTGATTTCAGAACATAATTTTCCTTCATTTCAGAGCTCTGGAGGCAGTCCCTTTCCCTTGTAAAGTTGGGTCTGTCTTCATGAAAATGTGGAGTATGAATTAAACCGATCTTTTAAAAAAATGGGGCAACCTTCTGAAGTGGTGAGATGGGCCAAATGGGATGAACCTTTGGAAGAGAACATTGTGAAGAGATGAAAACACTTCTTGAAACAAAGTGCTGTTCATGTAGAAATTGAGGAGTAGAGGAAACAGTGGTTTAAGTTTTGTTCAACAAATGTAAAGAAATGGGAAAAAAAGCATAGCATGTGGAGAGGAGGAGAAGGCAGTTATCCTATATATGCTGAGTGGCATGGCATGAAAAAAATGAAAGGGTGGCAAATTACAAGCTTTTGTAGGAAGGGGAAAAGGATATAAAAGGGAATGAAAGAGGAATTCTAATTACAATTGGTAGCTATCTAGATTCCTTGATGGTTGAGGAATGGTGGTAATGTCATAATGTTATCCTGGAAGCCCTTCATGTTTGCTTTGATCATTTGACATGTAGGATCTTTTATGATTAAATCTGAAAATACACCTTTCTCATTTAAATGGGAAGGCTCATATTAGAGAGACTCACTCTAGAAGGTAGAATGGCCTTTACCAGACAGAAGCAGTCCATATACTTAGCAGAGATTATAAAAAGTTGACATAAGATCTGGAGTACATTGAACAATAATGATCTGGAGAATATGAAGCAAATTCTTTTGAAATTTATGGCTAGGCAGATAGAGATTACACAACCTATAAGCCCTTTGCACTTTAGACTTGAATTAGTGCTAAATTATAATGCTTATATTCCCATAAGGGACAAATTAGGATAATGACCCTGCCTTATAAATTTACCCACCTTAATAATGATGTATGTAACTTAGAGAAATTAGGACCTTTTTTTTTTGTCCAGGAGTTCTTTATGGCCACTTCTTCTATAGTCATGGATAAAAAAGTGGAGAAACAAAAAAAAGTATGGATTGGAAATCTGAAGTCTGTTTATGAAATATTCCATTTTTTTCTCTCATTGGGGGAGACCCAAAGCATATAATTGAAGATGTAAATTTCATTACAGATAGTCCTTGATTAATAATCACAATTGAGCCCAAAATTTATGTGCTAAGTGAGATATTTGTTAAGTGAGTTTTTGCCCCATTTTACTATCTTTCCTTTAAGTGAATTACTTCAGTTGTTAAATTAGTAACATGGTTGTTAAGTGAATCTGGCTTCCCCATTGCCTTTGCTTGTCAGAAAGTTGCGAACACATGGCCTGGGAATACTGCAACTGTCATAAATATTAGTCAGTTACCAAACATCTGAATCTTGATTATGTGACATGGGAATGCTGCAATGGTTTGTAAGTGTGAAAAACCTTTTTTCAGTGCCATTGTAACTTCAAACAGTCATTAAACGAACTGTTTTAAGTCGAGGACTACCTGTATTGTTATAAAGATGGATGTTGTTATTGAATCTGTTAAGACAGCTTTCTAAAGCCATGTATTTTATGTCAACTGTCAAGTTATGATTATCGGTATCTCTCTCCTAAACTGTTAAAATTTCAAGAATATCAAAATGTTTATTACTTTGTACCCCTTTTTAAAAAAATGGAACTTTCTACATTCAAAACATACATTCTGTTATTGAACAGTGGTTCCTTCTCTAATAAATAGAAATTTAGGATCTGGCATTGTACACAAACATTCCAAGGTACATTGATTACTAGAAATGTTGGCTAGCCGACCTGTTATCCAAAAATTCATTTATGGAGACCAAACTCTACAAATAAGCCTATACCTCCATGAAGATTCAGACATGCCTATTGACAAATTTAGGCTACTTACATTGTAGATTAGTTTTGAATTGGGGAAAGAGGATTTTTCCAGTAGCTATGACTGCAGAATTCCTCTGAGCATTATTGCAGGTCATGTTTAAAAACATTTATATCAAACCAATTTTAAGCTGTATTATAGAGAAGAGGCTTGAAATAAATGGAAAACTGTAAGGATAATAGTGCTGCAGCAAGAGGCTATACAGGCCATTAATTGACTGCTACAGAGATATGACAGTGCACCAGAACTGAGTAAACAGCTGTATTTATTTTGGTACTACCCAAGGAACATCTCAATAAACAGACTGCTTCTTATGGCCATTTAGAGATTTAATCAGGTCCTTTTTCCCCCCTTTTTCAGGAGTTCCACTCTTCTAATCATGAAGAACGTATCTCATTCTTGCAGTTTGTGTCTCAGGTGGATTCATCCCTTGTACACCATTACTACTCTGTTTTGGAGCAGCTACAGGTAGTTGCAAATTTTTTTTTGGCAGGCAATTTATAATTGTTCCAGGCTGTGTAAAAGATGGCAAGGGAGCTGACTGTTAGGACAACAATTGTTTGTAAGGGTTTTAATGTTACTGAGCATTCCCCCAAAATATTTACCTGTATTTATTTAAGCAAAGCATTTTGCCATATTTCTAAATAAAAATAGCTCCTTACCAAGTGGAATGGCAGATAAATGCAGGTCACTGTGTGCCTTTTTGATTGGGTTGCTTGACTTCCTTTTCTAATAACAGGTAGCTTCAATTTCCTTATACAGTGGTACCTTGGTACACATCGTTAATTGGTTCCAGGAGGCACAGCGAGCACCAAAAACAAGTACCAAACATATTTTTCCCATAAGGAATAATGTAGTGAGTCATAAGGCAGCCACCAGTAACAGGTTCTAGCTTTTGCTTTGAGTACAAGACAAATGATGAATACTGGGACAACATTTTTGCATCAAAATACATTGACTATCAAATTTGACAAGTTTCAAAGCAGATGAGTACCAAGGTGCCACTGTAATTAATATGAAAATCGAAAGGATGGAGAAATGGATCCATCCTCACTATCTGTCCTTCCTTTATGAATATGAGATCATGGCAATTTGTCTCAATCTTGAGCATGGGTCAGATTGTAATCTAGTAGTCCTCGATTTACAACCATTTGTTTAGTGACCATGCAAAGTTACAATGGCACTGAAAAAAAGGATTTATGGCCAGTCCTATCACTTATGGCCATTGCAGCAACTCAGAGGTCACAAGATCAAATTTGGGTACTTGACAACCAGCATATTTAAGATGCTTGTATTGTCCCATTGTCATGGGATCACTCTGGATTCACTTAACAAATGCAGTTGATTCACTTAACCATGGCAAAAATGGATATAAAATTAGGAACAACATTAAACAACCTTGCTTAGCTATGGAATTTAATGGCCTTGCTTAGCAATGGAATCCCATTTGTGATCATAAGTCCAAGTCTTCCAGTAAAACCATTTCTCAGTCACAAACTGAACTCTGATTTTCAGTAAGTTGGTGTATTTTAAAATTGATCCAGCATGTTGTCTGAATCAAGACCAATAGCTACCGGATGTATTATGAGACACTTGCTCATCCCAAAAATGTTATAGAATGCAGGGATGTCTGCAGCTGCTCTGATAGCAACATCTCCCATTAGCATTCACCCTCTGTGGGGATTTTGTTTTGAAAATAAAAGATCTTGGGAGAATTAACTCTCCTACATCCTGTGTGTTACATTTCCAATCTTGAGCAGGAATCAAGATTGACATTTTTTTGCTTGCCTGAGCAAAAGTTGCTAAAATACTGATCCCAAAGCAGATGAAATGATGACCAGTATAATTTTCTGTCCTCTAGTATAGGGGTCTCACCAGCCTTGGCAACTTTACAACTTGTGGACTTTGGACTGTGCACTATGCTAGACTGTGGATCATGTTGACTGAAGAATTTTGGAAGTTGAAGTCCACGAGTCGTAAATTTGCCAAGGTCGGAAGCACCTTCTCTAGTACACTTTTACTGCACGAGAAATTGGAAGGAGAGTGATAGCATCTTTCCTGACTAAACATTAAATTTTATGCCTTTTAATAAAGTGTGTTATTGTAGTCAGAAAAGATGTTGCCAAATTCCTGCTGATTTTTATCATCGACTTAGATGACTCCCTTCCTACAATATTTTCTGGATGAGTGTAGTGAAATGTTACATTCCTATCCTTGGTGGGGGAAGAAAAATCTGTGTTCTCTGCCCGTTCAGCATAGAAACTAACCGGTACAGCAAAGACGGAATGCAGGTAGTCCTCGATATGTGACCACAATTGAGCCTAAAATTTCTGTTGCTTTGCGAAACACTTGTTAAGTGAATTTTGTCCCATTTTTGCCCCAAACACTTAAGTGAATATTGCCCCATTTTATGATTTCTTGTTACTGTTAAGTGAATCATTTCAGTTGTTAAAAGTTAGTAACCCAGTTGTTAAGTGAATCTGGCTTCCCCATTAACTTTTCAGAAGGTTGCAAAAGGTATTCACATCACCCCAGGACACTACAACCATCATAAATATGAATCAGTTGCCAAGCATCTGAATTTTGATCACGTGATCATGGGGATGCGAGTATGAAAAATGGTCATGTCACTTTTTTCAATGCCATTGTAACTTTAAGCAGTCACTAAATGAACTGTTGTAAGTCGAGGACTACTTGTAATTCGTTCCTTCTGCTTGTTCACCCACTGTTGTTGTGATAATGTTTTCAATAATAAATTGCTCATAGTGACCAGACATAAAGCAAATAGGCTACATGAATACTAATTGCATTAATCTTCCCACTTATGCTTTCCCCTTCTAGACACTCTATACACCTATTGATCCTGACCGGGACACACTGCAGGAATTCCCTTTGACAGATGCCGAACGGTTAATAAAAGAACATAAAGTTTTGGCCACGATGGAACCACTGTTGGATCAAGCCAACTTCAACAAGTTGTCAGAAGAAGCGCTGGCTTATGCACTGATTGTCAATCACCCTCACGATGAAGTTCAGGTGTGCCCTGCAAAAAAGATCCCCCCCCACTCCATCTTTTTCCTCCAAGGTGTCCCATCTATGTTATATGTGATAGAGCTGTGATGGCGAATCTGTGGCACGCATGCCAGAGATGGCAGGCAGAACCCTCTGTATGGGCATACAGCTGCTCTTCCATCACCAGCTGCCCTTCCAGGTTCCATCGCATGCATGAGCACCAGCCAGCTGGTCCGGTGAGCATGAGAATCAGCCAGCTGGTCCGACATGCATGTGCACCAACCAGCTGCTCTCTTCTGGGTTCCGGTGTGCGCATACGTGGTGGCCAGCTGGTCACGGGATGGAATGTGGAAGAGCAGCTGGCTGCCGCATGCATGCGTACCAGCCAGCTGCTCTCTTCTGGGTTCTGGCGCTCCGACATGCACATGCATGCTCTCCTGTTTTAGCACTTGGTGCCGAAAAGCTTAACCATCCCTGTGATAGAGGATGAAGGGGTCCTGGAATGGTAAAATAAACTAACATTTTAGATGCAGATAATACCTGTGGATTTCCCCCGACATTCCTCTTGTAATTTCAGTTACTCAGGTTCTCTTCCTTGGAATGGGTCAACTTGCTACTAACTCACCACGGCCAATTCATCACAGCCAACTCACTGCAGTACAATTCAACAAATACAAAAGATAAAATAATTTCAACGGAACCATGGCCAATAATAATAAATTCAACCCAAAAACACAAGTTACAATAATTTTGCCTGATGGCTTTCTGTGTGTCAGCATTTTTATGTGTGATGTCCCTGACTGCAATCAGAAATGGAGAAGTTTTTGCTTACAGTCTCATTATCTCAAGCCAAGCCTATCGGTTTCCAGCACTACTGTCTTCTTAGACTCTTATAATAAAATGCAAATCCTATCCCTTTCCCCTCTCTTTTAAAGTTTGGAGAAGTGGAATTTTATTAGGCTGGGGATATGTACAAAGGCAAATTACATGAGTGGAAACAGAATCCTAGAATTTCTTTGGATGGTCTTAGATCTCTCCAAGCCCACAGATAAAAATTTCACAACTTCTCAGTATTATTCAGCCTTTTGCTTTGCCTTACTTTGACCTTTTCCAGCCGGATATCTTTTGAAGGCAACTAAGAAACACAGTTTCTTTGCCCTATAACTGGTTTACTGCCAATTAAAAAGTCCTCACCGGGATACGAATGACAACTTGTTTGTGTTCCTCAACAGTCATAGCTTCAATTGATCATATTAAGAGGCATATACCGTCTGATGCTGGAGAAAAGACATGTTAAAGTTTAGCCTTTTTCTCCATAGATTTGTCTTACGCTTTATATGATCATCTACAGTTGCCTATGTCGTGTCTTATTCATAATTAACATGTAGCTCCTTTATTAGAAAATTATATGCTGCCTATTATCTTTACAGCTTTGGTTGTCTTACAAGATATGGTGAAAAATTGCTTTTATCTACACTGTTTTCCCGAAAATAAGATCTCCCTGGATAATAAGCCCAATCGGGCTTTTGAGCGCATGCGCTAAAGTAAGCCCTCCCCTGAAAATAAGCCTTCCCCGAAAATATTGCAACACAGCAGCAGCCATAAGGTGACCATGCTCTCTGCCTCCCATACCTCAAAAATAATCAGACCTTCCTGAAAATAAGGCCAAGCGCTTATTTTGGGAGTCAAATGAAAATAAGACCCTGTAATAAGATATCTATCTATTATATTGCTACTACCATGTTTCCCCGAAAATAAGACAGGATCTTATTTTCTTTTGACACCACCATAAGGCCGCTTGGCCTTATTTTCAGGGAGGTCTTATTATTTTTGAGGTGCAGGAGGTGCGAGTATGGTCATCTCATGGCTGTGGCTGTGTTGCAATATTTTCAGGGAGGGCTTATTTTAGCGCATGCGCTCAGTTTCAGTTTTTTCAGTTTTGGTTTATTTGTATGCCGCCCTTCTCCAGGAGGGACTCAGGGCGGCGAACAACTCAAAGGGGAAAGGGAACATAAACAACAGTACACATAATTAAAATACACGAAAATCACACAGCCATACCAGTCGAGAGGGGAGGGGAACTCATCAACCCCAGGCCTGCCGGCACAGCCAGATTTTGACGGCTTTCCGGAAGGCCTGGAGAGAGGTGAGGGTCCGGATCTCCGCGGGGAGTTGGGCTTATTATCTAGGAAGGTCTTATTTTCAGGGAAATTGTATCTATTAAGACATGAAATGCAGTTAATACATACGGAGTACAAAGTTATTTCTGGCTAGTGGCAGGATATCTTGGCTGCTAGAGATCATCATTTTCTTTATTTTTTGAGGCTGCTGAGGGAGTAACCACAAGGCAGGTAGATGCTGAATGGTATTAAATCTAAAGAAAGATTTACACTTTACAAAATGTTTTCAGCTGGGGGAAAAAGCATGAATCATGTATCCTGATAGTTTGCTTCTAAAATTTGATAGTATGACTTTTGAAAGCTACAAAACAGAACTTTGGGGATTGTATTCAGTTCACAGTTTGCCTATCCTTTGGTAGATTCTGATTTGTTTGTTTGTTTATTTTTGCATCTGTTTTTTATTTGCTAAAAAAAAATAAGAAAAGTTAAAGAGCCAAACAAATTGTTCTACTGGAGGCGTTACTGCTTCAGACAGGAACGCAGTTCAAAGAATGGTGAGGATGGCAGAGAAGATTATTGGCAGTTCACTTCCTACTTGTCAGGGACGCTACACATCCTCTTCATGACCTGTTTTCCTTGTAACCTTCTGGGAGGAGCTTCGTGGTATCCAAAGCAGAACTTTCAGATTCAGTGACAGTTTGGTTCCATATAGCATCAACCTTGTGAATTCTCACACTTCCTCTTTCAGCTTTGTATTCAAAATGGACTGTCTGTGTGCGTTCGTGTGTATGTGTGTGTGTATACACACACACACACACACACACACACACACACACACACACACACACTTTCTGGTGAGAGCAGGCAACAGAATTTCAATTTTAATGTGGGCAAGTGTGCTCACAGAAAAAATGGACCGTAGAGGTTATTTTTTATTCTATCCTATCCATCTTATCTTGCTTATATAATTTGCCTTTGTGCGTAATCCCAGCCTGAGAAAATCTGCCTTCACCAACTTTAAAAGCGGGGGGGGGGGAAGGGATAGGATTTGCATTTTTGCTGTAAGAGTCTGAGCAGTGCTGGAAACGGATAGGCCTGGCTTGAGATAATGAGACTAAGCAAAAACTTCCCCTTTTCAGATTGCAGTCAGAGAAATCACATATAAAAATATTTACATTAGGCATGGAATTCCCATTACAGATAGAGGGCCCTGCCCTGCTAGGATCCAAGCATGTAACACATATGCCTTGCCATCTTGGGTTTCCTCTTTGTAGACAGTGGGTATGTGCCCATGTAGTTACTTTTATCTTCTTCACAACCCATTCCTGAAACAGCAACAAACACCTTTGATATTCCAGTGTTAAAGTGATGTTTTCAGCCTTAAACCAATAGTATTCAACAGCCACTGCAAGGTATATAAAATTTGTCACATTTTGCTTCCTGTTACTTTGGAGGCAGTCAGGAGACCTACTGAAACTGGGATCAACCTGAATCTTTTGGTTACTCACAAATTGGGGCTATCGCTGACTCTTCCTCTCAGATCCTTGATGCACTTCACCAAGGTCATAATTGCATAGAGATAGTCCTCAACTTAGAACCTCAATTGACCCCAAATTTATGTTGCTAAGTGAGAAATTTGTTAAGTGAGTTTTGTGTCATTTTACGACCATTTTTGCCACAGTTGTTAAATGAATCACTGCAGTTGTTAAGTGAATCAGGCTCCCCACTAACGTTATCTGACAGAAGATTGCAAAAGGTGGTCACATGACCCCGTCATAACAGTCATAAGTCTGAAAATGATCATAAGTCACTTTTTCCATTGCTGTTGTAACTTCAAATGGCCATGAAGGAATTGACCTATGTTGAGGACTATCTCTATTATTTTTGTGAGTGAGAAAATCCACCCCTTTCAAACCAGATTGGTCTGTCTAACATCCCCATCTGGAGTTTACAGATCAGCTACAAGTTGTTAGATGGCTGATTCATGGAGATGATGAATATGAAAGCCATTGTATTTTCCAGTTCGGTGTAGTAGTTAAGGCGCTGGCCTAGAAACCAGGAAACTCTGAGTTCTAATCCCACCTTAGGCACGAAAGCCATCTGGGTTTCCTTTGGTCATTCAGTCACTTCTATCCCAACTCACTTCACAGGATTGTTGTTGGGAAAAGAGGAGGAGGAGGAAAGACCATTATGTATTGTATGTTTGCCCTCTTGAGTTACCGTATTTTTCAAAGTATAAGACTCACCTTTTTCCCTCAAAAAAGAGGCTGAAAATCTGGGTGCGTCTTATACACCGAATACAGCATTTTTTGCCTCCCGAAGCCCCGCCCTCTTCACCAAAATGATGGTGCATAACTTGTGGGAAGCTTTTAGAGAACTACTGGGAGCTGGGGAGGGCAGAAATGAGCAAAAAATGGCCCATTTTTTTGCTCAATTCTACCCCGCCTCCCCAGTCCCCAGGAGTACTCTATAAGGTTCCTTTTTTTTACAAAAACGGGCCCGTTTTTGAAAAAAATGGGCCATTTTTTGCTTGTTTTTAAAACACACACCCCAGAGCACTCTGCAAGCCGCCTAAAGGCTATTCATGCCTTTTGTGGGGGGGAGAGAAATGGGCCCGTTTTCATGAAAAAGGGCCATTTTTGGAAGGTTTGCAGAGTGCAAAAACTTTTTTTTATTTGCCTCTTCAAAACTTTGGTGCGTCTTATACTCTGAAAAGTACGGTACTTATAAAAACAAGGCAGGAATGGGAAAAAAAACAAATAAATTTACCATTTCCCAGAGCTGACAGGTGCTACAAGAGGTAGCAGGGTGGAGGTGGAAGAATCTGATGCCTTCCAAATTCGGCTCTCTCATTTTACCAAGCATTGCTCAGCAGTGCTGGGAAGACACTGAATGTTGACATGCACTTTGATTCATATGGCAGCAGCCCTCTTTCTAAGCATACCTGGGGAAGCCTACAGATAAGCAGGTGAGCAGGTGACAGGTATTTACGGCTGGCTTCACCAGTCATACAGTGATAGATGGTTTGTTTCCCATCACTTTGTGATGTTCAGAATGTGGGAGTCCCTAATAACTTGTGTTTTCATGTCAGTTCTGGCTTCCCTTCTTCAGGTGACAGTGAATTTGGATCAATACGAATACATCACCTTCTGGGCTCTGGGCCAACGGATAGGACCTCTGCGAGTGATGGCTGCAACTCGAGCCCAGAGGGCAGGCTTCTTCGGCACTGCTCGGATTCCTGCAGACAGGCAAGAAAAAAAATGGTCTCCTTAGTATCTGTTGCCACCTGGAGATCCTTTTGGGGGAGTATTCCCAAGACTCAGTCTTCTAACAGGTCAGATTTCTGTCCATCTAGGTTGATGTTACCTACTTTGTCTTAAGAAGAGCAGTGATGGAACAGACCATAGACTCGCATTCTGGTAGTCTGAGTAGGGCCCCACCACCAAATATTGAGAGCAGCTTTGCCCTCAAGATACTCGTTTGCCACTGAATTCAGAAGCATATCATCTCTGATCCTTGACGTAATCTAACAGTCATTTTCCTCACCTTTTCAAGATGGCCCAGTCACACATTTAAGAAATCAATTGCATGGTTTGGTGAATTTATGTGGTTCTTTTCCTGTCTCATAAACCTGAAGCTTTTTGCTTGTAAAAACTCTGTTACTGAACTGTGGTTCTTTCACCCAGTTTTATGTGCTGTTGTAAATGAGATAGTATAGATGGGGCGCTTTACAACTTGGAGGGAAATGCTTTATGGCTTCTAAGTGAAATGTTCATAAAATAAGAGTACTGATTTTTTCCCCCTTAAAGTTCTGTGGATAGAAAATTGAAAAATACATTCTTGGGGGTGTGTGGTGTGAATGTTCTTTCTTAGAAGTTAAATGTTTTCATCTGTGATTCATTTCATCAAATGCTAAGGTTTGCCTCCAGAAGCCTTTTTAGGGCATTCTGAGCTGCATTTGGGCTGGCCAGATTGTGCTCTCTTCCATCATACCTGCTCTGACAGGGTTTGATTACTGTTTCCCAGTTCCTTTAATCGGTGTTTTTCAAGTTCGTCAACCAAGATGTGCCAATTTTGGCATGCTGGCTAGGATGTTCTGGGAGTTGATGTCCAAATCTTAAAAGTTGCTGAGATTGAAAAACATAAAAATGCATATGGCACTTAATTTTCCAACAACTCTGTTGGATGGTGATGGGCTTATATGTTTAATTTATTATCTATGACCCAATTCTTAACTTGTAACAGAAGCCGTATTTGTGAGTTCTAATTTTGACTTAGGGACTGTGGACAGACTCACATTAAGCTGGTCACACACTCTCAGCCCTAGGAAAAAGAAATCAGAGGCAAGCCACTTTTGAAAAACCTTGCCAAATAAAACTGCAAGGACTTTTCCAGACAGTTGCCAGGAGTCAAAAAATGGTCTTAAAGGGACAAATAATTTTAAAAATGAAAGGGATATAAAGATGTTCATCCCAGAAGTTCCATTCTACCATATTATAGTTGGATGGCAAGGAATGTGAAAGCATAGATAGGAAGTTATATTCCACTGGGACCTTCTTACTTTTTGCCAACTATTTTTATAGAAGATTGCATTAATGCTGAGATATTATTACTAGGCATAACAAAGTACCGTATTGATTGTTCTTCATGAATTAACACAGCTTGACGTAGCAGATTATTATACAGTGGTATGGTAAAATACTGTGTATTTTTTAAAAAAATTATAGCAGGTTTGGTCATGCTTGACTGATTGTCCAGATTGATTAAGGATGTCAGGCAACATATGACATTTTTGGCATGTGATAGTGCAAGACTGTTCTGAAGCAGAAGGGATTATGAAATGAAATCAGAAAATGAAAAATAAGCCTTGCCAGATAGGTTTTAGTTGTTCAACTATGGAAGGTTACACACAAATTAATTTTCAGCAACCAAATTGGGATGCTTTTAGTTTATATCTTAACAAGAATAGAAGTCTCACAGAAATGTTCACACTTTTCCACATTGTCCCAGTCAGCTTTGAGAAAACATCATTCGGGGTAAAGATTATTTGCGGAGAAAATTATAAAATGTTGTTTGTAATTATTGTTTATTATCAATTTTATGTATATTTTGTTTTTCCCCTCAACAGGTTGGAGTGATTTGGCTACAATCACTCCATCTTTTGTACAAACATTCCTTTCAATTGTTTGTTCCTGATTTTTGCATCCTCCAGATCATCTGTGTTGGCAATACCTGACATAATAATGTGCCCTTTTCCCCCCCAGGGCTCTTGTATCATCACCCTCAAGACTAAAATCTGAAACTTTTTGTCAAAAGGGTAATTGAGTTACTTCCATGCCTATAAAAGACCCATTAGTTCCTAATCCAAGTATTTTACAACCCTAAAAAAAATCGTGGCACGACAAAACCGCGCTCAACTAAGCCGCGCCCGATTAAACCGCGTCACTGACGTCATCAACAGGACGACAACAGCGAGCGTGGAGAAAGAAGGGCGCTTTAAATAGCGCTTTGAAAGCAAGCCGATTCAACTTAAGGTAAGGGTTAGGTTTAGGGTTAGC